ACAGCTGGTGGGATGCTTGCCTTGTATACACAGATTCTATCCCTGCCATCCCTTTTGTTCCCTTGAAGCTGCTAGGAGTGGTTGATCTATAAACACAGAGCCAAGAGTAATCCTTCAGCACTGCAGGGTGCAAACTCCCTCTCCCCCTTGGGGGAAAAAAAAACTAGTCATTTCCCATAGATAAACCAAGGTTGTATAAAAGGAATAGAGCATTATGTCCATATGTGATTTGTAAAGGGTGGTCACTGATAAGTACCAAAGGAATTGAGCCCTAAATGTAGAAAAGGGAATATGTTACAGACAGAGGGGCGTGGTGTTGGGAGGGGGGGAGAAGGGGTGGCTACTAAAAAGTTCTGAGCAGAAGAACGACATAAGCTGATTTAACTCTTGATGGGACTAGCTGATTGTTTCTGCTAGTGGAAATAAAATGTACAAGGTAAGGGCAGAATTATGGGAAATCAGTTAAAATTCCAGAATAATTCATTCCAGAGATGCCAAGGGTCTCTAAGTTCTGAGTAAAGAGATTTTGTTCACTAAAAAAGTCTTTCATCTTATTTTCCAGTTTAATTTCTGTGATCTGTAATGCTGTAATTCCTTTGAAAGTGTCGTCAAGTATAATACACCCTCTGTCAGATTATGTCTTCATCTTTTGACTTGCAGTGAAAATCTCATATATATATATATGTGTATAGGTAAAGGCCCTCCCGTTGATCGTCGATTTGCTCGAGCGGGCCCAGTAACGTCTCCATTGGAGACTTTGTTGTTACTGTGTCTGGCATATCGAATACTCTTGGTAGCTTGCCGGGCTCTCCGAGAGGGGTGGAGGAATCGAACTTGGGTCGGCCATGTTGGCCGCGTGTAAGGCGAACGCCCTACCCGCTGTGCCAAACACAGTAACAACAAAGTCTCCAATGGAGACGTTACTGGGCCCGCTCGAGCAAATATATGTGTATATACATACATATATAAATAAAAGACTTATATATATGTATATATGATTTTATGTACACATATATATTTAAGTCTTTCCAAAGCCCTTAATACATGTTTCTCATATGTCATGAGAAACAACTCTGAATCCTTCTAGACTTCTCTTTTCATGCTTCTCTAAATAAGCTGCTAGGAAATAGTTTGAGCATTGGACTGGGAATCAGAAACAGGACAGTTGATCCAGCTCTGCAAATAATATGTGGTGTGGCCCTGGACATGTTGCTTTATTATCTTGGGACTCTCTAACAGGTTTAGAGTAGTATTATAAACTACAAAATGGCAGCCATTTTAAAGACCAAATTCTTGTTTTCTGCAATTGTACAGAAAAGCCTCACTTTCACAGTCTAAATTTGGAAGTCATGGGACCAGAGAAATAAGAGTGGGTTTTGATAGCCATGAAAGACCATATCTGATACCACTTCAGAACTGAGACTTAATTCAGTTTTTGGTCTCCTATAAATTACACATTTAAAAAAAATCTTTTTACACTATAACATTATCTAATGATACATATCTAATTTTATCTGAGCCCATTTTCTTTTTACATGATTCTTTAATTAGCAGAGGTCTTTGACTAACTTAGGAAAAAAAACACTTATAATTAAAAAATAAATAACAACAGCAGAGTAGGAGACACATTTACATAAAATTAGCAAACTGCACATGCACTGAACTATTTATATGCATGACTTGGATGGTTTTGCTGCCTGTCTAAAGGCACAGGACATATTTCAAGCTCATCTCTTTGCCTGGTGGCTTTTGTGATAATTGAAAGCATGGGTTGTGGAATCCTCGGCTTTCTAGGGGTAACATCATGGAAAATGAACAACTTTGAACTTGATTATACAATGGTACAATGGGACTTAAATGTTTCATTAAAATCTTGTAACTATGAAGTCCTTTATCTCAATGTCTGGCCTGTAGTGGGTAGTAGAAATAATTGCTAATATTGTTGCTACCCTGGGGATATATTTTATTAAGCTTAAGAATTTTTATTGCTATTTAGTTTGGATTTATGATTTTAGTTTATTTGCAAAGCAGTGTTACTTATTTTCTTGCAATATTATTTGAAAATAGTATTAAAATTAATGCATCAGTCTTGTAATTTAGGTGACAACAGAGGGATAGTCAGTATCTCTTGACATCTGTTCTTACTATTTCTCTTATCTCTTCCCCCTGTGGCCTCCCTCAGTTCTCAGTTCTGTGGGCCAGTATTCCAGGGTTAGTTTTCATTGCCCATTGTCTATTCCCTTGTTATTTCAAAGGATTTTAATTTTCATTTGACCTTAGAGTCTTGTGAGATAGGAAGGGAGGTCTCAATTGTTTTCTTTATTACATGAGTGATAGGATAAAGCCGAAAGAATGAAGTGACTTGCAAAGGATACACATTTGTGAGTGGCAGAGTTATCCAAAAACACTCTGGTACTCTGAGTCCATATCAGGCAACTTTTATGTTTATTTCTGAGCTATAGTTGTTTGAGTAAACTTGTGTTGCCAGGTTGTGTTGGTCATTGACTCGTCAATTAACTGCACAGATGACAGAAATGTTTGGATATAGTACTGCGGACTCTGTTACATTTACCTTTTTTTTTCTGTTGAGTGAGGTTCTCCCTTTTACTTTTCTTTCCCCTTTTCAAAAACTAAAGATGAAAAGTGCTTGCAGTCTTGTCATCTCACCTGTCAGCAGAATTTACCAACTTGCTGTAATTGTCCCACAGTGTACTCTGCAACAGGGAGAGATGATCAGAGATTCTGATTCTGTCCACAATGAAAACAGAAGTCACACTTTACTCACCTCATCTCGCTTTAGTTAATGAAGCCCGAGAACATGATTTTGTTCTTTCCTCCTTCAGTATACCGAGGAAAGAAACTGAGCATCTGTAGATGACAGAGTTAGTGTTAACTAGGTTGATGGTGAGAGAGAAGGAGAGTAAGAGGGATATGTCAAAGCTGGAAAATCACTAAGCAAAATGTGATATTGGCATGAGGACTCCACATTTTAGGCCTGTCTGTCTGACCAATCTCAGGGCTTTATCAATAACCACAGCTGATTAATTGCAGTCACATATCCAAACAAAGCAGCAGAATAAAAGTGTGCCCTTTTGGATGGAGAATGGATGACGTCATCAATTTTGTTTCTTCCTTTGAAAGACAGTTCTAGGTGGTAATGCTGTATCCAAGAGACAGTTTGTGGGTGATCATTACATTTCAGGCTGCAGACAACTGCCCTTAGAAATCTCACACTAATTCCCTATCTTCTCTAATTTTCCTACAGCCTCCAGGATTCAGCCTCTTCTAGTTTATGAGGCCAAACCTAATAAATGCTTCAAATCATCCAATTTGGAAACCTTGCATGCCTCAGTTTCCTTTTCTGTAAAGTGGAGAAAATTGTGTCTAAACAATTGTTAAGAAATCTGACTGTATGTAAATCATTTCTAGAAAACAGTGATGGACTCACAGGGAATAATGAAAGCTCTGTTATTTTTGTTAAAGTGGTAAGGGTTTTAACTCTAGGATTGGAGAATTTTTGTTTTTCCCAACATTAATTTTATTTATATCGATGCAGTTGTGTAATTTAAGTTACTAACTTCATTTCCCTTACAAATACACATATATCCGTAGAAATATAATTACTAGATCATGTGAAAATTTTGTTTTTAACTTTTTTCAAAATCTCCCATGCTTTTTTGTATATAGTGACAATATCAATTTATAAAGTCATCAATAGTGCATTGTATTCATGTTATCATGTGTTGCTTATTTATTATTCTTAAAGAAATGTCTATTCAGGCAGTTTGTTCATTTCTACATTGAATTGTCTTCTAGTGAATGTAAAAATGCCTTCAGTTTGAGTATTAACTTCTTATTAGACCACTGATTTACAAATACTTTCCTCCAATCTTTAAGTTATCTTTTCACTGTATTACTGGTTTTACTTACTGTGTAGAACTTTTTAGTCTGATGTCATATCACTTTTTTCCTTCACTTTGTTGCTTGTGCTTTAAATGTTATTTTTAAGAGTTTTTTACCAAGATACATGTTGGAGAGCTCCGTTATACTTTCTTCTAAAAGCTCTTCGGTTTCAAGGTTTATATTTAATTTCTCAATCCATTTCAAGGTAATTATTTTTGTAACTGGTCTAAGGTTTGGGGTGCAGTTTCACTTATTTCATGTGAATATTCAGCTATATTTACAATATTTTTGAATTCTTCTATCCATTAAATATTCTTGGCCCCCTATCAAATATTAACTTATTGTCTAGACTTAGGTTTATTTATGAGTTTTCAATTTTATTTCATTCATTTGTTTGCCTGCTTTTATATAAGTAACATAATGGTTTGATGATCACAGTTTAAGAATATAGTTTGGTATCAGGAAATTGATTCTTTTTCTCAAATGGGAATGATTTTTTTATTATTCTTGAAATACACACACCATTCTAATTTCCAATTTCCGTTACATCCCAGGAAATTGATTCTTATGATCCTTTGAAATTCCAATTCAATTTTAAAATCTATATTTTTCCTTCTAATTTTACTGAGTTGGATCTTTTATTTTGTCCTTCGTTAGTTAGCTAAGAGCTGGTTAATTTTGCTTGTATTTTCAAAGAAACTACTCTTAGTTTGAGCAATATAGGTTTTCTTTTATATATTAATTTCTGTCTAATATTATATGTTTTGTCTGCTAACTTTGGCCTTGGTATGTACATAATTTTTAGTTCCTTCAGGCATAGATGAAGGTTCTTATTTCAATTTTTTTTTTGGCTATAATACCTACAAGAGGAGGTAACAAATTAATATTTATTTAAAAATATAAATTAGGGTAGTATGATTTTCCTGACTCCAGCTAAGCATTGCCTCCATATATAACTACTTATTTGCAAATATCAACAACTTTTCTTTACTGGGTGCAACTTTACTGGAAGATGTGTGTAGATGGAAGTGGACATTTGTAACTCCAAATATAAAATGTTCTGCCCCCTACCCCTTTTTTCTTCTCTGTATGGTTAGACTCCAGAAGAGCTAGAAGATGATTCTGACTTTGAGCAGGAAGATTATGATGTACGCAGCCGGACGAGTGTCCAGACTGAGGACGACCAGCTCATTGCAGGGCAAAGTGCAAGAGTAAGTAGACTGCAAGGACATTGGCTGTAGCTCTAGGACTGTGTTTAACAGACTTGTTTGTGACAAAGTCTTAATTCAGCGAATTGGCACTCCAGAAATTAATGGCTCTGAAAATATGCTCTCATTTGGGATTGTTGATAGGTATTCAAATTTTATGTTTCAGCAATTTACACATTACATAATAGGAATAAACACCTATGTTTTCTGCTTTCTTCTTTATTTTTTATAACCTATCAAAGAAAACACTGATACCTGTATGGATTTTGTTGTTGTTGTTGTTACTATCATGAGATGGTTTAATCCCAATAATATCCTGATTAGATTGTCATCAGCTGGAAGAAACAGGAATGTTCAAATCTTGCATGAGTTCTGGGACTGTTGTTTTCCTTGATGTCACTCAACTTCCTAACACAAGAATCAGTGATGAATGTAGAAGTAGTACCGTTTTGTTACTGATAGAGCTGCTCCCCACAGACTAGCCTTTCATAACAATACCACATCTTTTAAAATGTATTACAAGGCCTATCAGTATCACTACCACTATCACTCCATTGTTTATCGATTTGCTCGAGCGGGCACCAGTAACGTCTCCATTCATCCCTGTCACGTGCTAGTGTAGCCTGATGGCATATTGGGGGCTCTTTCTGGGTCAAACCTCTCCTCTACTGCCCAGTGTGTACATATGATTTGAAAGTACTGTTATCTCTATCTACCATGTGATTTAAAAAAAAAAGAATCTAGGGACATAGTAGAAATACTACATTTTAAGTCATCAAGCAGGAAGCACACAAACACACACAAATTCACCACAATGACAGACTTTGGAACACTTCTGTACTCCTATTGATGCAATTGCAACATAAAAGAACCAACGAGAATCTCAGCATTGACTAATCAAGTCAACTTTCTTTTCTTGAGGGTAGATGCACATAATCTAGGCAGGTTATAAGTTTCCATTGGATAAAAGCAGTATAATTTAGAATTAGATAGTTCAATTACACATGTTATGTTTCAATTAAGAATTGATGGGAAACATGGAGTTGAGGGAGAGTAAGCAATTTAGGATATGAATTATGACATCCTAGGAAGTTCACACTGACTTAAGAATTATTAATAGTACATAGTAGTCTAGCAGAGGGTAAAATAAAGAGGATAATGGAGACTGTCTTAAGTTGAATCACTATACATAAAATTTAATTTTTCTCATGTGCTTTCATTTTCAAATAGTCTCATCTAACAATTGAATTATAGAAAATATATATTTGGATATTGATAGAAAAATGCATGTATAAAAGTCAGAACATTAAATATGCATTGAATTTGATTTCAGGCAGACGTGATTTTTTATTGTAAAGGTTAGAGTGAGGATATTGATCAGTTATATGTTGCTTAATGTCTCAGAACATTAGTGCTATTATTTGTAAAATATAAGTAATAGAGATACTTTATGGCAGTCTTTCAAGACTTTAATATTTGTAAAACAATGAGTACAATAGCTAACATGCATTGTGTTCAGTAAGATTGGACTGATAATTAGTCTTTAGAAGTAAAAGATCTTTTGGACATGGATTGGTAAAAGTAGAAAAGTACATAAGAAAACGTGAAGCCTCCTACTCCAAAAATTCCTTGTGGACTCTAACCATTTCCTTTTTACAATATTGAAAATTGGGAGTTTCATAAAACTCAGAGACTTTGAGATTAAGTTTTCATAGAGCTAAACTACTTTATCAATTAAATCAACTCATCTTCAATCTTGGGCTAGAGCGATAGCGCAGCGGTAGGGCATTTGCCTTGCACGCAGCCAATATGGCCTACCCGAGTTCGATTCCTCTGCCCCTCTCAGAGAGCCCGGCAAGCTACTGAGAGTATCTCGCCCACACGGCAGAGCCTGGCAAGCTATCCGTGGTGTATTCGATATGCCAAACACAGTAACAAGTCTCATGATGGAGACGTTACTGGGCCCCCTCGAGCAAATCGATGAACAACGGGAGGACTGTGACCGTGACCATCTTCAATCTGGAGTAAAACCAGAATTTTGTCTAAATGACAAAGGACCAGTGTGAGTAACTTATTTAAACTGTTTGAATTCTACAGTCTAGTACCTAGTGACATTTTTTCAAAGAACAAGGCATATTACACAACCCTTATCTAGCTTTACAATCACCATTTTGTCAAAATAGCATGGTTAGTCACATTCCTTTTAAATAAGAATGCTGTCTCAGCATGCTTACATCTTATATATCTTCCTTAGACATCGAGGCAATGATGGTGGGTAGAAACAAAGGTCAAGTAGCTCTCAATAACAATTATTTTTTCCAGCATCTGGAAAGACCATATTCTCTTTGGAATACATGAATTTTGAATATGGTCCAAAATAGTAAGAACTAATCCAACACTTGCTAGTTTCTCTTTGAGATCCGTCATGTGGTCTGTGTGATTAAGTTCCAGTAGACAGCACTTGTTATTGAGTCAGCCTATTTTACCCTATAATTATATAATGACAAATCAGAGACATAGAATTATGACTGTAAGTTGGAAATAAGATGGTACATTGAATTGCTGAGATGACAGATGGTCGAACTTTTGACCAGAGAAGCATGTTAACTTGGTGAAAATTGTGAAGGAGGCAAAAGTTGTCTTTGACAGTGTAAGTTTTTCCTAGCAGCCTGTTCCCCTATAAATTGCCTTATTTTATGTTCACATTTAGACAGTATCATCTCTGAACATGAAAATTTAATTTAAAATCAATGTATAATATGAGTTTTAATACTGTCTTAACAATGATCTCAGATTTTTGGAATTAGGATTTCTATTTTTTCTAAATATCCCTGACTACTACTGGTTTACAATATTTTATGAGACTCCTCATACCCTGCTCTGAAAAATTATGAGAGTGATCATACTGTTTCATCTTAGACACTACGTGTTATAACTTTTTATTCAAAGGTAGATGTAGTTAAAATAAGTTGACAGAAATCTTCGAAATTTATCCTTGGTGATGAAGTATATTATTCAGTTACACAGATACAATTTTAAGGATGAACTTGAGTAAGTTCTGACTTTGTGATAACTTTCTTAATTTCTCTATGCTTCATTAACTTATGTATATAAACATGATACAGCATCTACATTATAATGTCATTAAGAGATCATATGATGAAATACATTACATAAACCATATCATATTGATTATGGAAGATGCTGGTTATGGTACAGTAGCTAAGCAGTCTTGAAGAGAGACTGATCATATAATGTATTCTTAAAGAACTGGACAGTTCTGTCAACCATGTACATTTTCACTTAAATTACTGGGACAATTACCCCAATTTCCCAATTATTTTTATAGCCTAAAAATAATGTCCAAAGATTTAGTCCTTAAATTCTAATATATATTCGCTGACTTTGAAACCATGTGACTCTTAATGGCATTCTGAATTTTGGGCATTTTAATTTTGCTTATAAAAACTTATGTAGGAAGTCAATGTTTCATACTCATACATACTTGATAAATGAATATTTCTCATTTTGGGAACCCAACAACCTCAAAGTTATTTTTCTCCCTGATTGGAAAACTAAATATATTAAAAGCTCCTTGAAATGTAATTAGAGATTCTGGCAGTATAGTTATTTGCTTGTGTCAGAGATTTGAAGTTCTATTTATATACACATATATAAACATACCTATATATATGTTTATATATATGCTTTGATAGCAGTACTAATTATAGAACTGGGTTACATACATCTTAGACTTATATTCTACCACCAAGCCACGTTGCAGCCCTGCTTTCTCAATTAATAGGTGGCATTTGCAATACTAATCACCAAAATGATTAACTCTTAAGAAAAAAAAAACTGGGAACATGTTGCTGTGGAAAGACTTGAAGATTCGTTTCTCATGTGACCAATTTGAGGCCCTAGAGAGCTGTCTGTTGCCACTATGAATAGAAAGTAGAAAAGTTCATACTGTCCCGGGTGATCACATCTCATAAACAGAAAAGCTAATTTGTTCCTGCTCCTCTTGGTCACGAAAATCATTTTTCTCATGTTCCTTTAGTTTGAGGGAATGAACAATTACATGTACTCCACTTGATCTAACTGTGGCTGGTGTTTAGGACTTTTTTTTTTCTGGTCCTAGTGAGAACTATTTTAATGTGTTAACATTTCAAACTGCTGAGTTACATTGATAAGACCTAATTAAAACTCATGTGTTGAATTTTAATTTGATTAACTTGCAAATTTCACAGTTTGTGATCTACTGTTTATAGATAACCTTTTTTTAAATTCTAATTTCAGAAAAGGTCAATTATGAATTTTTAAAAGCCAAATGCATTTTGAGACTATTTAGGAAAAGACTTTGGCTCATCGATAGCTACATAAGCAGAAGCAAATGTAATGACACTTGCACCCAAGTCACACCCCATTAAGTGCATTATGCAGGTCGAGCACCCCTAGAGTCAAAATAACATCATCCTACACAAATCTTCTTTCAGGAGACCAGATTTTCTTTAGAATTGTGCCCTTAGAAAATGTTAGTCATCTCTGATACTTTTCTTGAACTATGTTGATGCAGTGAGTGGTAAAATGTTTTGTCTAGTCAATCAAAAGATAGTTATTTAGCTTCCATTCTGTGCAGGAAACTGAAATCCCTACCCCAAGGAAGCTTAGAGAAAAGTCAGTGGTAGGACATTAAAAAGATTTAGTCAGGTGATACTCAAATGCAGAATTGTACAGTTGAAACTCCAATCATTTAATTGACAGAGAATGGCATATCGTTTAATGCACAAATTAATGTATTTGGGGACTTTGAAATTTCACTGCTTCTCTGGAGATTGGATCTAGATTCTTTGAATCTGAAGGGCTATTGGGAAAGTTTATAGATAAATGAGTTATATGTGTTTTTTAACAAAGAAACACCTAGTAAACACTGAAAAGGATGCTTTCTTGCTTGTTAAGATATATGAAGTCTAAGTAAAGCATTTCTTTTTTTAGGGAGACAGAAGTATCTAGGTCATATTTAAGGATATTTCATGAGTGCAATTGTCTATAAATCAAAACCTATTTTAAATGCAATAGGATAATTACTATGTTATTCTTATTAAACTATCAATATTGCAAATGTTATAACAAATCCTTTTATATATTAACTGTATTCTAAAGTATCTTACTGAGCACACTTAATTCTGGAATTGCCCACATCCCAGCTTGGAGTATGAAATTACATCTTTTAGTTTATGGATGCTCTCTCTTTTCTTTCATATTTAAAAATAGATAAAATTACTTGTAGGTCACGGATTGATTCAAGTAGTTAGAGAATATGCCCACATGTGTGAGTCCCTGGTTTTAGTTCCTTGTGCCAGAGAGATAAATAACCTAAAAAGAATTATATGATTTTTTGAAAATCTGGCTCTTCAAATGTAAACTATAATTTTTATATAGACATAGACACATATATACAATATATACAAATATACAGCCATATGCTACATATAAATTAGCATACATAACAGCATAAAATTTAGTAAACCTAGTTATCAGTAAAAGAAAATGGAACAAAAGAGTTTCTAGTTAAATGATTCCCTAATGCAAACAAGACAAAGATCCTTCTTTCTCTGGACAGATAAGACTCATCAACATATTCACAATCTGATGAGCAGAGCTTGTGATTTCGGCATCTCTGGTCTACTAGCCCAGGGTTACTAAGCAGTATTGCTTCTTGTTCCAGATGTGTTTAGTGGTTCACTCAGATATTTGGATTCTATTCCTCCAGCTTATTAGTTACACAACATTTTGGGGGAAGAGTTTGAAATCATTATTAGTAGAAGCAATAATATTTATCTTGTAGTATGAGTAAAAAAGGTTAACAATTGTGTGTTTGTGTGTGTGGAGAGAGAGAGAGAGAGAGAGAGAGAGAGAGAGAGAGAGAGAGAGAGAGAGAGAGAGAGAGGAATGTGTACTTATAAGTCTCAAAACATGGTACCCCCTATCCTGTTTCTACTCCTGGAAGCATATCAGTCTTCTATTCAGCTGTATAGTCACTTCTCTCTCCCTTATATTTGATGACAATTAATACATTAGAAGGGCAGCTGAAAAAGAAAACTAATGATTATTGAATGGTATTCACATCATGCTTTGAGGAATTTTGGTAGGTACAAAAATAAACATTACATTTGCTGTTATCATAAAGTTTAAAATATTTACTCTCTTTCTAAAAACTTAAGCATACAGACCATTGTGTCTAAATCCAAGTCAATTACCAGCCAGGGTACAAGCTGAGCCTATTTTTTCTTTTGTAATATTATTTTAAAGGGTTCTTGGGCTACATCTAGCAGTGCTCAGGGATCACTCTTACCAGGGCTTGAGTGAACATAAGTGGTGCTAAGGAAGGAACCTGGGTCTGCCACATGTAAGTCATGTGCCCCACATGACATACTATAGCTCTGCCCTGTCCTAGTTTTTCAGAAGTGAGCCACAGTAAAGCTAGAGCTGATAAGCTTATCTTCATGCTCCTATCTGTGAATCAGACTGTGTGAGTGAGCAGTGAGATAGTGTCAGACATTTCACTCAGGGTCTGCTACATAAATGGTGTTTAACAAATACTCTCAATTCTACTATTCATGGCACTTAGAAGCCATAAGGTCACTAGGAATCCATAAACATGGATTACTGAATCATTGCTGCTGAAGAAAATACAGAATTTGTTACCCGAGAACCATGAGTTTCACCATTTTCTTGAAAAATGAATATGTTAACTTGTTTCCTGAGTGCTTCTGGATAGATGCCTTATTCTATATTTTTGATTCATTAGTCTCAAACTTACAGTCAACCATGAACTCTGTAACATCCCTGAGGAAAGCTCATGCAACTTTAATTTTTTCCCCGCAAGTCCTATCACTACCACAGAAGGACTCATATAGAGTAGGTGAGCTGACACAAAAAGCAATACTGAGAATCTCGTGTTCAACCTCATCTGGGAACAAATGTATTGGGCGACTCAAATATTTTACCTTTGTCACAATTGCGAATCAGTGTCAAACTTTTGTATTCAGGCTTACTACCATTTGTGGTGTGTGTGTGTGTGTGTGTGTGTGTGTGTGTGTGTGTGTGTGTGTGTGTTTAGTGACAGGAATGAAACTCAGGCCCTCATATGTAAGAGCATATGCAAGGCATATACTCTTCCGTGAGCCTTGCCTCTACCCTGCAAATTCCTTGTAGACTGGGAAGAGTTAAAAATAAGGACTCCATAAATAGTAAGATTGACAGTATAGTTATTCCTCTTTTTCCCCTTGAAATAGCAATGAAAAATCTACCTTTTCCTTCAAACCCTACACTTTATCCTTCCCCATCCCCATCACATATCTGCAATACCCAGAAGTTCTCAAGAGAGTCAGGGTCATCCAGGATTATCAGAGAGAAGGTAAGTGAGAGATGTAAATGGGTGTTCCTGACCAGAAATGCCCCAATTGAAGAATTTTGTTCAGCCTCTAAGTGAACTTTTAAATTAATTCTCATAGAATATTTCCCACCCTGCTGAGATGCTCAGACATTGTTGAAACTTCCTTTCCTTCTTTTTTCCTTCTTTTTTCCCCTGCTCAGAACAGATTTCATTGTTGAAAGAGGTATATTCTTTCATCTGGTTCAATTTTCCTGAGATCAAATATAAAAAGTGACAAGAATAGATTCTTTCAGGCAAACATATGTCATCAAAGTGACACAGAAGTTCTGTTACTCTCAATGTATACATACCTTTGGATACTTTGCGTTTTTTGTAGGTGGGTGTGGGGACAGGGATTTTGGGAACCTCATCACCAATCTGTGCATTAGCCTTGTTAAGATGTACTTTCCAGAATGCTGGAGCAACCTGTCCCCTTTACTAGGGTCAAACTGGTAAAACTGGGGGCAGAGTGAACTTTTCCTGTTCATATTTTCTTTGTCAATATTAGTCACACTCTTTCCACAACCTACACAGGCCATCATGGCACAACTACCACAAGAAGAGAAGGCGAAAATCGCTGAACAGGTGGAGATATTCCATCAGGAGAAAAGCAAACTGGATGCTGAAGTGGCCAAATGGGATGACAGTGGCAATGATATCATTGTGCTGGCTAAGCAGATGTGTATGATCATGATGGAAATGACAGACTTCACAAGGTGAGACCCAGAGCTAGGAAAATGAAGACTTCTCATTAAACTCTGAAACATTGCAGTGTTTGAGAGTGTGGGAAAGTCTGATGAACTCTTAAAATATTTCATCGAGCAAGGCAGTGGTGTCAAAAAACAGACATGTGTAAGTCACAAGTTGGAGGTAATTCTTAGCAGATAGAGATCTTTGGACAAAGGAGAATAGTTTTACTTTTGTAATGGTTTGAATGATCTATTCAAAGTCAGTCATAGAATCAAACTCCAAAGGGTTGGATAATTTGCCTTTGGTCATTGCTATATGAACATGTATTTAAATATTATTCTAAAGATAAAGTGAATAATCTGTCAATATTACTGTGGGAAAAATATACCTTTGCATCTGTATATGCAAATAATACTGCTTTAATGCTAGCTCACTAGCATAAATTTCAGTTTATATTTTCCCTGTACATAAAAGAGGTAGGTTCAATAATCTAAGATCCTTTCATCTTGACAGAGAAATTAAATATTATATAAATTTTATTCCCTGTGGCTCTGAGCAGTACTTTCAATAAATCAAGAGACAAGTCAGACTTTTTTCAGGAGCTTTTTGTTTGTTCCTGCCAGGGGTCATTGCTGATTCTGCCATTACATTTTTACTCTTCTTGTTAAAGGAAGGTGACAATTTTGTTCTTACTGTCACACAAAAGGTAAGCCAAGAGAATAAAACCCACAGGGTAAAAAAATTCCCTGGATTTAAGTATAAATTCCTGGTGAATTTTGGCAAGACTTTTACTGTATTTGTATGCTAAATGGAGAAATAATGCTTGTCAATGGGAGAGCTTTCACATTCAAAGTAGTAATACAAGTGTAAATTATGTTGTCATACAAATGTAAGTTATTAGTTTACTATAGAGTTTTCATTTTTCTGAGAATATAGTCATATGTGCACACAAAAAAGATGTTCTACTGATTAAACATAATATTTTTTATTAAATCTATGTAGCACTGTAGCACTGTCCTCCCATTGTTCATCCATTTGCTCGAGTGGGCCCAGTAACGTTTCTATTTTGAGATTTTGTTGTTACTGTGTTTGGCATATCGAATACGTCACGGGTAGCTTGCCAGGCTTTGCGGGCGGGCGAGATACTCTCGGTAGCTTGCCGGGTTCTCCCAGAGGGGCGGAAGAATCAAACTCGGGTCGGCCATGTTGGCTGTGTGCAAGGCAAATGCCCTACCCACTGCGCTATGCCTCCACCCATTAAATCTATATAAGATACATTGTAATTCAATAAAAAATAAAATAAAATATATATGGTAATATCAAGGCATTGCCTTATAGGAGAAAAATGGTCCTCCCCTTCTCTTCTTGCATTCACTTAGTTGTAGTACTCACGCACCTGGCTGCCAGTGACTCACTCTTCTGGTGAAGTGCTCACCCCAACACACCTTCCTTGCAATGCATGCGAGATCATATAGTTCCTGGTGCCAGGAATCCCAGTTGCAGTGATTCTGGAAATACCCTCAACCCTTTTGGGTATTGCCAGTGGAAGTACTATTGACCTCCTGCCTTTAAGGCAGGTGCTGCCATCCAGCTATCTCTCATAGCCTCAGGAGATTGTTTAATGTTGCTGGATATTTATTAAGAAATGGTCACAAATGAATAGAAGTGTAATATAATATAGGACATCTTGGCCTCACCAACTTTACCCTTTGATTTTAGCCGGTATATATTCTTGACATTGTTCAGTACTTTCTCCAAATACTTTTTAAATTGTTTTTCACTCCAATGTAATGACTTTTATGTTATGGGGGTAACCTTTAGGGCTTTTGAATGCCATTGTATTCATTAAAAGTTCAGTTTTTGTACATTTAAAGTTCATTGACTTTACTGATTAATTTTGTACACATGCACACAAAACAGTAGAAAAAATCAGTCATTTAAGTTTGAATTTTCTACAAATTAGACTCTCATGGCTGTCTTAGTCATTACTTTTCAAGGCCTATGTAACTTTATTTGATTGCTTTCTACATTATAATATCGTATCTATATGTTAGATATCATGTGATCTGTCAATAACATCATAAACAACTGATTTCATTAAATTAAAGTGAAAAGGAAATTAATCTGTTAATCTTACTAGTTTAGATCAGTAGAATGCTAGAATGCTTTATAATATTTTAGGTTATGTATAATTATGGTCAAGAAAGAGATATAGGGATCTTCTTAGTTGAAGTTAAGACAGACGTTTTGTTAATCAAAGTATAATATTATTTTATTTTTGCTTTTTGGACCACAACCTGCTGTGCTCAGGGCTTACTTCTGGCTCTGCACTCAAGGGTCACGCCTGGTGGGCTAAGGGGACTGTATGAGATTCTGAGCATCAAGCCCAGGTCAGGTATATGCAAGGCAAATGCCCTACCCATTGTACTGTGGCTCCTGCCCCTCAAAGCATAGTTTTAAAAATTTTCTTCAATTTCCTAAGAATTTCCTATAATCACTTTACGACTGGTATGAAAAAATGAAATGTCTTGGATGCTCATTGTGGTTATCATTTTTTTTCTCTGCATGATGAGTAGTTTTGTCTTGCTTTGTGAGAGCAAAGGGAAGAGTACAGTAATTAATGACCAGGGAAGGGGAAGAAAATGTGAATTTGAAATAGAATTTAGAAAGCCAGGTTTTGCTGCTGCCTTTATCTGCAGAACCTTTCCTTTCCAAAGAAAGTCGATGACTCACATCTTTCTTCGTGGCCTCTCACCTAAGTTCATTGTACTTAACCAGAGACTGTATTATTATTGCCCTTGCATTTTCCACTTCAAGGAGGAATAATCCTCCTCTAATGACTCTGTGTGTACTATTTTCACTTACTTAAAGCTATAGATAACTAGGAATTGAAACCTGATCCTGAAACCATATGTTTAAAGGACATTTGGGTACAAATATAACCTTGCATTCATTATCTTGTTATTTTATTCCTATCAGCTAATACATTAATTTGATTCAGTAATCTCAGTGATATCCACTCCATTATTATTAAAATTGGAGAAGTTCTGCCTCATTATTTGTGTAATAACTTCTTCATGGAGGATAAAACTGATTATGTCTCCTGTCTTTTTTTCTGCTTTTTTTCTGTCGTCCATATCCTAGGGATTGGCAGGAGCACTGCTCTGCAGAGTGAGCCTGTGCTTCCTGTGTCAGTTTCAGAAGGATTAGCATTTATCAATCATGTGCCCAAATAACAAAAGGTGTGTAGGTGACAGCTCAGGAAGGATACACAACTTTAATTGTGTAGCAAAGGGGGGAAAAGTCTTTGAAGATAAACAAAAAGTTCTGGTTTTAAAAGTAACTAGGTTGGGCATAAATGGAAATAAAAAACAAACAAAAAATTAAAACAAAAAAAAAACGAAAGAAACACATTAAGATACAATCAAATATTAAATACTGAGCACTAAACTCCAAAATCAGATATCATCCCTGCGGGAGTGATGTTACAGTAGGTAGGGAACATGCCTGGCACAGAGATGACCCTGGTTTGAGTCTTGGCATTACATATGGTCTCTAATCCTCACCCAGAGTGATTTTGAATACAGAGTCAGGAGTAAGTCCTGATATCCACTAGGTGTGCCCCGAAACAAAACAAAAACCAGGTGTCATCCTGATTTTTTTCTAAACTATTCCCACCTTACTGGTTTCAAACACTGGGATCCTCAGCACAGCCATCTCTTCAACTTGTCTTTCAGTTCAAATTATTAAGAAATACCAGTTCTTGGTCAAGGCTGACTTTTAATGTAATCACCCAGCCCACTTTGGACCAACACTTTCATAAGTTTACTCTTCTCATGAATAAAATACAAATTTTGAGTTCATTATTCAGTGCATACTTTTGTTATCCATTAGGCTTTATTTTTCTTTGTAGTTTACCTCTTGTTTGTAATTCATGTGATTTCACTCAAATAGTTCATGTCTACAATCAGCAGTTTTATTGAACTCTAGATCTATCTATTAAGACTTTGAAAAATATATTCTTTTTCAAATATGATTCTTACATACTATTTGTCTCATTATTGGATAGTAACTGTCATTTAGTAATAGAGCATTGATACAGTTTGAAGCAGTTTATACAAATTAGGTTGTTTAAGTTGTAAAATTAATTTTTAAAATATAAAGAAAACAAAAAATACTTTAGAGAGATAGTAGAAAGGTTAAAGAGCTTGCTTGTGTATAGTCAATCATGTAACAGAGCCTGGCAGTGGTTTCTCCCTGTTTACCACCAGACTTTGGTGGTAAACAGGGCAATGGACAGTGGTGGGGGCCCATCAATTCTTCCAAAATAAAAATAATAAGAAAGAGAATAGAAAATGACAATATGAAAAAATATCCAAATATTTCCTGCTTTATTCTAATAATTTACACTTTAATTGAAATTCACTCGCAATTTTTGTGTGTGATTTATATGTTACAAAATTATACTCATGCAGCAGGTAATGTGCTTCCATTGTATGTGGCTGACCTGGATTCAATTCCCAACCCTACATATGTTTCCCTGAGCATCTTCAGGCGTGACTTCTGAGCATAGAGCCAGGAGTAATAGGAGCAAGCCTGAGCATTGCCGGGTGTGGCCCCTGACCCAAAAACCTAAACCAAAAGCAAATGAGCCAAATCAGAACACTATGTTTGCTAAATTTAATTATTTATTTATTTTAATGAATCACTGTGAGGTACAGTTATAGATTTACAAACTTTCGTGCTTACATTTTTAGTCATACAATGATCGAGTAGCCATCCTTCCACCAGTGCCCATTCTCCACCACCAGTGTTCCCAGTATCCCTCCCACCACCACCCCCATCCCCCCACACACACCTGCCTCTGTGGCTCTCTCCCTTTGAGTGTTGTGGTTTGCAATACAGACATTAAGTGGTCATCATGTTCGGTCCAAAGTCTACCTTCAGCACACATCTCCCATATGGAGTGGGCCCTCCAAGCATCCTTTACTTGGTGCTCCCTTCTCGATCTGAGCTGCCTTTTCCCCAGCTTGTGAGGCCAGCTTCCAAGCCATAGAGAAATCCTCCTGGTCCTTATCTCTACATTTATGAATTGTTGAAAGACATTTTAGGGTTTTAGTCTCCCATTTTGTTACTTTATATTCCACAAATGAGTGCAGTCCTTCTATGTCTGTCCCTCTCTTTCTGACTCATTTCACTTATATTTGCTAAATAATTTTAATCCAGAATATTTTCTTTCAAAGGTACTAGTTTCTACTCAATAGTTATTACTCGATTGTCAGCAATGGCATTTTACACAGGTTTGTACATAAACAAAAGCAAAGAATTTTGAATGACACTCTCAGAAATCACAAAGAGATCTTTTCTATTTTGCCTTCTTGATGAGTGATCATGTCACTAAATTGTCACTTAAATATGAATATTTGAGCCATGAACGTTTTCTGAAGCATTTCCATGGTGCTCAGATCTATATACTATGTATTCAGAAATTTTTAGATAATTAAAATAATTTTCTTACTTCAACCTCTTGAAGAAAACTTCTTTCAACAATTTATAACTGTTCAGTCTTTTCTATTTGACAGTAGGCTATTTTTTCTTGATAGTTATGCTGCTTCCATTGTGTTTGGGTTTTTCCTTTGAACACACCAAGCAGAACTAGGAACCACTCCTAGTGGTGCTTGGGAGACTATATATTGTGAGGAATGAAACCAAGGGGACCTACAAAAAAGGGAAGTGGGTGGGGGAAGAGGGGAAGGACACCCCAGTCTTTTGAATCATATCTACAGATTTGACAGCTCTCTACTTTCATATTTATATTTTAAAATATACTCATTCCTTTATTGCATTTAGACAGCATTTAAAATAGAGTGCAACATTCATTAGACTATGAAGGAAAGAATTAACTTTCAATATATGATGTGGGGAAAAATGGTTACTGGATTGGAAAATAGCTTGATTCTTATCTCACAAGAAACACTGCAGGTCAATTCAATATTTAAATGAAAAATTAAAATATTGGAATAACATGAAAAATATTTTTATTTAAAACAAAGAAGGAAAATGGGCACTGGTAGAGGGATGGGTACTTGATCATTGTATTACTGAAACCCAAACACAAAAATTTGTAAGTCTATAACTGAGCCTCATGGTGTTTCACTAATTAAAAAAAAGAGAGAGAGAGAGAGCTCTATCAACTGTGAAACAAACAAACAAACAAAAAAATAAAACATAGAAAGAGGGAAGATTTCAAAAGTAACTCTCCTAATATAGCATTGATATTGTCAGAAGCCATTGACACAAAGATGGTTTAAGTTGTAGAAAAATAAAAGCTATAGAGATAGTACTACGATGGTTAAGGGGCTTGCTGGTGACCAGTCCTTCTTCGGTTCATGGTATGGGACAGTCTCTAAGCACCACCAGGAGTTGACAGGTGGACAGTTTTAGGGGCCCACTACACCTCCCATAAGAAAGAAAGAGGAAGGAAAGTGAAAAAGTAAAAGAAATTATACTTTATGATACTAAAAGTATTTCCCTGTGTTATTCTAATTATGTATATTTTATTTAAATAAATTTGCTTGCAGTTTTTGTATCTGGTATGGGATAAGTGTCACTCTGGCGTGTTTTCCCCCCCCACTGATTCGGAATTTCTCATATTTTCAAATCTCCTGCCCAGCAATTTAAATAAATCACTTTATCCTATGTACTCAAGAAAAGATATTTTATAATTTATTTTTTTTTGTTAGGTTAACCTATTAAAATCATCTCAGAATTTTTTTCTATGATTTTTCTTTTTTTCTTGTTGGTTTTGGACTATACCTGTCAGTGCTTAGGGCTTATTTCTGCTCTGTGTTTAGGGATCACTCCCAAAGGTCTCAGGGGACTATAAGTGGTGACAGGAATCAACCTGAGTCAGCTAGATGCAAGTCAAATTCCCGACTCTGTACTATCTCTCCAGCCCCTATTTTTTTCTAGATAACAATAGAAGTATATTTGTTACATTACTTTTGTCTTTTATTAGTAGCTAGTTTTAGACTTATTTTTCAGGGTTTCATTACTTTCTAACTCATTATACCCTCCTTGAAATTTTATTAGTTCCTACTTTCTAAATACTCAAGTAGAAACTCTTGAGTTGCTTGTTATTTTCATTATTTATTGTATATTTATGTACATATAGCCTTCTATAGTCTACATTTTGTAGATAATTATTATTTTAATTACAGTACATGTAGTTAAACATTTTGATTTTCTATGAGATCACTGTTTTAGCTGTTCTTATGAGAATGAAATATGTTGTAAAAATTACACTAAATTATATTTTTGTACACAAGGTCCTTTCAGTGTGCATTACTCTTCTCAGAAGTATAATTTAGGACATATCATTCTTCCTTTTTTGGATCTGTTTCCAAAAACTAAATGAGTATGTAATGATCTCAAATTTTCTATTTAGCTTACTAGTTAAAAAAATATACTCCTATTATCAGTCTATGACTCTTAAAATTTCAATAGAGTCTACACTTTTAAAGCTAAACTCTCAGAAATTTTCTTCTTCTTTTTGACTTTTTTTATCATTATACAATAGTGAGTCTATTAATTTCTAGTGCATCCACGGAATTCTTGCTTCTAACCATTTGTTTTCTGTGAGATAGAAACTTGGACCTCAAGCAAATAAAAATATGTCAATATATATGTTACTAATTAACAGTACATTTTGTTAATTTCAGCTATTGAAAGTTACTTTATAATGTTTCTGCGAAAGCATTTTTCCTGATCCTTAAAAATACTTAAAGCTAACAAACAATCAGGATTGTTAAAAATAAAAATTCAAGAAGTCTTCTGTTCTTTTTAAATGGGTAAATACAGGGCCTAATAGCAAGTATTGTATCAGCAAAATGTAAAAATTATTTTCTAGATTTTAAAAGTTACATAGGCATTGAATAATGAACACATTATTATTAAACATTAATTTTTAAATCTTGGCAGATTTTTCAACACTTTCTTTTTTAATATAAATATTTTTAAATTTTAGATTTGTTTAAAATAAATTTTTCTTCAAAATGAAAGATAGAACAGAAAATAGCATTCTTACTTTGCATAAAACCCACCTGAATTTACTCCCTGGCAACCCATATGGTCCTCTGAGCCCTGCCAGGAGTGATCACTGGGCACATCACTAGAAGTAAACCACGAACACTGCTGGTTATGATCCCCCAAACCAAATTTTAAAATATATACATAAAACAAAAAAATGTAGATGATAATAAACAATGTTTGGGAAATGAAGCTAAAAATGACCTTAGGTAATGAGTGTCTTGAACTCATCTATGTTAGAGAAAATCCCCATGTGAAACATTATGTCATTTAAAATACATAAATAGCATCTGCAATAAAATCAGTGCCTTTTTTTTCTTTGCTTTTGGGTCACACCCAGCTATGCTAAACGGTTACTCCTGGCTCTGCACTCAGGAATTACTCCTGGCGGTGCTCAGGGAACCATATTGTATGCTGGGGATCGAAGCCGGGTTGGCTGCATGTGAGACAAACTCCCTTCCTGCTGTGCTATCCCTGCAGCTCCAAATCAGTGCCTTTGGTGTAAGAGTTAATATTGTCATAACAAAATATCCTTAAGTTTTGAATTTCTCTGTGTGAATGTATGCATTGACATGAACCCAGTATGTTTTACTTTTAACTGCTGCTGTAGAAAAGGCCAGAACGGAAATTAGGAAGGAAACTGAACAAAATTCTTTCCATTTACTTGTATTTTCTGGAGGCATTTTTAAGTCTTCCCTCTTATAAAAAGTTATTATGTAACAATGGCAATCATTGCCCACTCTATATAACCCTACGCATTCTATATAAATCACTCCTGAGTAGATTTTTCTCTACATCTCACCACATTTCTAACTATAGGAATGCAATTTTTGTAACCATAAAAAAATGCATTGATTTTTAGATGCACATAAGGAGACCAGGATAAGTAGCAAAACTAAAAAAAGATATGTGTATTTAATCTATTATCTCATAAAATAAATAGTATCAAATGCATTTCACTTAAACATATATGACGCTACATAATGTCTTCTAACATTTAAACCACATGCAATAATATTTAGCTTACCTAATTGAAAACTTTGTGTGACAGTACTGGTTCAATATTTTGGTAGAATAAAAGTGTCTGCTGTTAAACAGTATTTTTCTGATTTCTTAATTGGTATTGATAAATAGAAGCAAATGAGAATAAGAACAACACATTCATGAAATTCTGGCTGAGTAGATTCCAGTTATGTTGCAAAAGATTACAAATTCTCTTTTACCAAAGTGCCAAGGAGGATTTAAATTACATTAGCATTACTTGTCTTGGTATGAAGCACAATACATATGCATTGACCAAATGTATCTCTCATCTGTATAACCCTAGATGATGGCACTGATGATCTCTGCTTGCTAGAATTATGAAGACTGTGAGGTCTGAAGTGTATAACAGCATCAGGCAAACATAAATTTACGTATAAAATCCCCAGCTTTGGCATTGTTTCCTAATAGATGAATGTTTAAAAATATAGGAACTTAAAAAATAAAGTATGTGTATGCATGTCAAAATAGAGAAATATTTCTCCAAATTAATGTAAGAAGGGTGGATAATTAAAATAGAAATGATTGTGATTGAAAAAAAAAGAGCATTCCTCTAACATGCACAGAGCCAATGCAATTTTAAAAAATGGAGTTCTGGACAAATAATACAGTAGATCTGTCTGTTTCTTGTAATAAAGTGGATTTATAATTGTTTTATTTGTTGTTTCAGAGGCAAAGGACCATTGAAAAATACATCTGATGTCATTAATGCTGCCAAGAAAATTGCCGAAGCAGGTTCTCGAATGGACAAATTAGCCCGTGCTGTGGCTGATCAGGTAACAAAAGAGGAAATAGCAAGCACATGCTGAGTGGAATTGTTAATTAGCACCTGGATTCTGTAATAGAATTTTATGCACCCTATAAAATGCCCCTGAAAAATGAATTGTAGAGATTCACTAAAAATTATTTTAGAGACTGGACTCTACCTCTGTAGAGACCATGACGATAACAAAAGTGTATTAAGTTCTTAAGAGACTCCTTAGACCTGTCTGAAATCTTGAGAAACAGCACCCATAACTCAGAGACAGAACCCCAAAGAATCATGTATTATCCCTGCCACACTCCTTTAAAAAGTCACTGAGAAAAAAAAAAGAAGCAGTCCCACTTGCCTTTTCTTTTAAATACTGTTCTCACTGTAATGATGCTTTTTCAGAGTTCATAATAGTTTGTGCTCATAAGTATTATTAATCTACACAATAAAACTATACATTTCAAAACTATTTTATCTAAATATTAAGATGTCAGGGGTATACAAAATCCTCAGAACACTTTGTAACAATACCTCAGACAAACTGAGATGCACATTAATTGTGTTTCAGAGAAGCTAAGATATGCAATAAGATAGTTTGCTTTAGTATTTGAGTTTTATTTTCCACATACATTTCATTTTATTTGACTTGAATTGGGACCTGTTCTAATAAATATATTTCAGTAACGTTCTGTTCATTGTTAGGCAATAGCGTTTTCCAGATAACTGATAGTTATCCTTTGAAGCAACAGTGTTTTACAGTTTGAACCCCTGAAATAGTTTAAGTAAGACATTAAAAAGGAAAATGTTTTTAACTACCAAATCAGTTTCTGAAATAAAAAATATTATTTAAACTATATGGAGACAATACTAGATGCTTCATTTTTTTTTGGTTTTTTTGTGTGTGGGGGGGGTCATACCAGCAATGCACAGGGGCTACTCCTGGCTCTGCACCTAGGAATTACTCCTGGTGGTGCTCGGGGGGACCATATGGGATGCTGGGAATTGAACCCGGGTCGGTCAAGTGCAAGGCAAATGCCGTACCCGCTCTACTACTTGTGTGGCCCCAAGAGATGCTTCAAATTTGCTTTAAAGTCTACGATAGAGTAAGGTTCTCTAGAGGCAAGGAATGATCAGGCTTGCCTCTTCCTCAATTGGTTTGACCTCTGTGCTTTTTATCTATAATCCTCAATATTAGTTCTTCCTAGAGTATTTGCTATATTCTATACTCAAAATTTAAAATGCCTCAAACCAACATCAAATTAATTTATCTCCCAGAGACTGAAAAGAAAGCCATATCATTAATCTATTAGGATTACACTTAAAAAAAAATCAATGGAGTGTTTCATTGAATTTTCCCCATATATGATGATTTTTCCAAGAAAATATTTTTGCTTATTTTTGAATTTTGAGAACTGGTAAGGATAGTTATTAAATGTAGCTATAATGTGAGAGCCTCCTTCACCCCAGCCCCTAATTTTTGTGTACACAATCATTTATGGACTTGCTAATTTGACGGAAATATCAACATTCAGGTTTCATTTAGTTTTCATCAAAGATTGAACTGCTTTCTACAGATTCAATAGGTGTGAGAAGTTTCTCTGAAGAAAAGATAATGAACTTCCTTGAATATATGTATATGCGCCTGCAAACAATAATAATGCACTAACTAGAAAAGATATCTTCTTTTCTGAAAATTTTGATGAGAGTGGGATTAATGGAGTTGCCAGAAATGTGTGGATGGTTCAGAGAAAAGTTTTAAGAAGGTTTACTTTCAGAGAGAAGGAATAGGTGAAGTTTGAATGACTTTTCTGTGTTACTCTGAATCACAATACTTGAAACTATTTGTTATGTTTAAACTCCTTGAGCTTAATGCTTTTATTGTGATATTTTGATATTTAATTTTTACTCTTATTTCTAACAATTTTGCAACACAAAGAATTCCCTGACAGTTTTGATAACTGGAAAACATCATTTATACTAAAACACAAGTCTCAGGATTCTAGATGAATTTTGAGATTAATTTCCTAAGTATTTAGATTGATACTAGCTAAAATAAATTGACCTGGTTGGAACATATGCGCCAGTGCTCATGCATGGCCTTTATTCCTGGCACACACTCAGGGCTGCTGGCAAGGCTCTGGATCATATGTGTGCCAGGAATTGAGCCCAGGTTGGCTGCATGTAAGGCAATCTCCTTACTCATTGCACCGTTCCTTGGTCCCAATGATGATGACTTTTTGAAATAAACAGATGAAGGCTAAACAAACTCCTTGTAGAGTCATATGTGAAGCAACTTTTAATTTTTGCAGATATCTAAATGGAATGGTTGTTTCTCAAAATTTGTACCTTTTTCCACCTGTGGTATAAAGGTTATTTTACTTTTTTTCTTTTCTTTTTGTTTTGTTTTTGAGGTACAGTCAGCAATGCTCAGGGGTTACTCCTGGTTCTGCCCTCAGAAATTATTCCTGGTATTGCTTGGGGGACCAGATGGGATGCTAGGGATTGAACCTGGGATAACTGCATGCAAGGCAAAAATCCCTACCCACTGTACTATTTATCCAATCACTAAAATTTTTCTTGTTTCATCATGATTTTATGTATGTTTAAATGTTAAGTTTAAATAATAGAATAGAATGAGTATTACCAAGGGGTGGATTGATTGCCTTTACTTTGAAAATATTTTTATGAAGATTTGAGATATGCATGCAACGTGCCCTTTTTTATGGACTGTTACATTTTTAATTACTGTTCCATGGAGATAGAACTTCTAGTTTAATTTGCTGCAAGGTATTTGTATCAAAAGCATTGTCAGCTCTCTGGGGAGATATCATTTTAAAGTTAATTTCTTTCAGAGTATGAGTCTCTGGAGTAGGATAAATATTACAATATTAAGTACTTGCAGAAAGCTAAAAACATTCTCTGTGGGATTCTTTCTTGATAAATGCAATTAATGAAAATAAAAACCACAGTAGTGTTATATATAAAAGAGACCCTGTCGTCAACTATTCCATAAATGGTTATGTCAAAACCACTTGTTTCACAATATTTATGAAAAAAATCCCCTTGAATTTGAAGGAAATTTTCACTGTATTAGAAATGTCTCTCTCATATACTTGTTCTAAAGATACTTGAGTTTTAACCGGTGATACTTATTTCTTATAGGTTTACATAGACAAACTGATAATTATCTGTCCTTTATAAATGTGAAATTGTGCCAGAACACTGGGATAGCATAGAGAAGCTTGAGTTGAAGTTTTGTTTGCAATAGAAATGTATTTCAATTACAAGGTAGCAAGTGTCATTGATATCTCAGGAATGTTTTAGGTTGTCCTATCACTGCCATGGAAGGCTGTTCACTCAGGAATCACTCCTGCTGGTGCTCAGGGTATCATATGGGATGCTGGGAATTGAACCCCAGATCACCGCGTGCAAGTCAAATGCCCTACCCACTGTACTATCACTCCACCCCCACTGCTGCTACTCTTAAAAGCTCATTTTCAATGGTTTCAAATTTATTCTATTTTAATTTTTTCTCATATTTAGTGCTCTTTTTAGAGGCTAATTGAAAGGAAATTCATATATTGCTAATTCATTTGTAAATATAAAAACTTAAAATGTAATATATTTTTGGACTGATACATATATTAGAAACTCAAACAAAACACAATGTTTTTTTTTATTCAAACTAACTGCATTAAAGCTATAATATGTTACGGTAGATTGTTGTACAGAAATTTCCAATTGATATCTAATAATTTGGTACCTCTTATTCAAGTTGCTATTAACATGAGTTCAGTTGGCCATTAGGGAAAATTTTTGTAGAATATTAATTTTTTTAACAACTTAGATGACAACTGTTAAAAATACTGTGAACGTTCAATAAATGGTTATGTCAAAACCACTTGTTTCACAATATTTATAAAAAAAATCCCCTTGAATATGAAGGAAATTTTCACTGTATTAGAAATGTCTCTCTCATATACTTGCTCTAAAGATACTTGAGTTTTAACCGGAGATACTTATTTCTTATAGGTTTACATTGACAAATTGATAATTGTCAACATGTACAAATTATGTACAAACATGTACCAAATGTGAACATGTACAAATTAGCCCAAAAGTCTTCACTATTCAACATTGCTACAATATTTTTATCAAAATAGTGCTAATCATTCTAAACCTTCTACTGTGTGCCTTCCTTCTTAAAATATACTATAAAAAATTTATGTCAAGGGCCATAGAAATAGTACAGTGGGTAGAACACTTGCAATGCACATGGTGGAGCAGAGTTCAATCGTTGGCATCCCACATGTTGTCTGGCTCACTATGTATGATTCCTGAGTGCAGAGCCAGGAGAAACCCCTGTCTGAGCACTGCGGGGTGTGGCTCAAGGACCCAAAATAATTTTGTGTTAAATGGATGTAATTGAGATATATGACATTGAAAATGTTTTTCTTTTCTCACAACTTTGTATAGCAAGTATTAGAAACTGAAGACCGCTTTCTAATTGATGTCATTTTTAAAATGTCTTATAGTGTCCTGATTCAGCATGTAAGCAGGATTTATTAGCTTACCTTCAACGAATTGCCTTGTATTGCCATCAACTTAATATCTGCAGCAAGGTGAAGGCAGAAGTACAGAATCTGGGAGGAGAACTCATTGTGTCAGGGGTAAGCTGGGACTTGGATTTCACAATTAAAGTTTTCACTGTTGTACTTTCAAGGCAAGCATTCTTGGCAACAGTACTGATAAAAGCACCAAGCTAGTGATTCATAGGGAGTTTTCTTTTTATAAGTAAATGTTACCACCATTATTCTAGACCTTACAATAACTCACAAAGAACAATTTGATTTTCCAATTACCCTGTGTTTATACTAGCCTTGTAAAATCTCCATTCTTCACAAGAAAACTAATTTCATAGTCTGGAAACTCATTGCCAAGCTGTGACTATTATAATTATTTTGGGCTTTTGTATATTTACTCATTGCGAATCTCCTTCCCTTTGTTAGTCCTAGTAATTTTCATTTTCTGTTCAGGAGCCAGCCTCTCTATATGTGGATTATGTTCACATGCTAGAGATGGTGAAAACAATAGGAATTCATTCATCAGGTTCCAATGCATACTAGGTTATCAGTAACCCTTGAAACTCAGACAATGTTCAAATTTAATACAGATTGATGTGCTGTTGCCAAAACTAACATAGCTGTCAGACACTAACAATTTTAATGTATGCCATGCCCAATCACTTCAGTATTCCCTTCTCATAAAACTACGAATTTCTGGCTCATTTTCATCAAATGTAAAGAAATACATTCAATGAATATTTAGAATTGTCAATTTCTTGGCAAGATTTCCAACTGTATGTGTTGAGGTTCTTCACCTTTGCTTCTTTTCCTACCTCAGTCTGCTTCTTTCAACACAAGATACCATTTATCGTTAAGTATTTGCAAATTCTAAAGTGTGGCTCTGCCACCTTTAGTTCTTTTCCCAGTCAACCAGAATGCTATCATTTAAAATGTGGCATTGGCAGGAATATAATATTGTCATCATAGTAATATGTGTGTGAAAATCAGACTGGTCATTATGCTCAATCCTTCCTTCGAGTCATTTTTTAAAAATTCTGGAGTTTATTTGGTAAAAATTTATGCAGAAATCATTCTTGAACCCACAGATTTCAGTTCTGATACTATTTGGCTTACAGAATTCCTAGCTGGGAAAAGAGCTGATCTGGCTTGCATGGAAACACCATCTGGAAAGCCCATTCCATGCAGTTCCACCTGAAGCCTAGTAAATTGGCTACTCATGCCTCTTCCCAAAGCAGCCACCTCTTTGCATTTCCAAAACAATCCTGCTTCAACATTCTTCAGCAACCAAGAGCAGTCTGTCTTGCAATGTGTCCTTTCTGCCAAGTCGGTAATTCTCTGCCAAGAAGCGATCAAAACATTGCAACTCCTTTGCTTCCTTTCTTATCTTCAGCCTCAATGGTATAGTTCTCCATACCATTCAGCTTTCATGTTCATCTGTATATAGTACCTGTGGAACCAAGTGCTTGCTGTTTAGCTTGCCCTGTGTGCTTTCATGTTACTTTCTAAGTCTTATTATTTACATGGATGCGCAAAGCATCTTCTGTGGATCTCCAATTCCACAGCCTCACCTGGGTGGTATTTTATTGGCAGAGATGCTCTTCATCATCCTCTCAGTACCCATTGTTTGTCACTGCTTCCATTGTCTTTGCTTCATTTAGATGTAGCCCGAATCATCACTGGCTTTTATCACTTGCATTGTTGGCATTTGTTGTGGTGTTTGTGATTGAAAACACCATCAAGAAGCCTGTCTTTGAGTCTTGCTGGCAGAGTTCATAAATCCTTGCATGGGAGAAGGCTTGTTTTAGAGGAATGTTTACCACTTTATAATAATCCGGAGTCAAATGCATTATAAAGGTTTGCTATTTATTGCTCAGTTACGGATTTGTTCTTGGCCTCCTCATGATTCTGTCCAAGCTTGATTGCTACTTTGTATCATTTCTGCATCTATAGTTTGTTGTCTTTGCCACTTCTGCCTCCATCTTATTCTTCATCTTCCTTCACTTATGATGAATGAAAAAAAAATAAAAGTTTGTTTTTCAAAATAGTCACAAATGACTTCCTTCAAAGTTCTGAAAGAGTCACGAATGTGAGACCCCATCCACACAAACTTTTCAATGATTTTGCCAAGAAAGTGCACCCATACATTAGGCTCCCTTTATTGCAATGAAAAAGTGGGTATATTTCAAGAAGCTGCAACTCTAGTTCAGTTATTCTGCTTAGTAACTAGTATTCTGGTTACTCTGCTGCAATAAAAAATTTTCTTCCTTTTCTCCTATGTGTTTATTATACATGGGGGATTTAAAGTTGAGGCTTATTCTCCAATATTTTGGGAAGTTCTAGAAAGTCAATTGTTCGAAGTTCAATTTTCTAGTCATATGGAAAGATTTTAATAATTTCCATTTTTCAAAGAAAAAACTTTGGATTTCAAAACTGAGAGTCATGTTTTTAATCTTATGCTGGCATGGAAATATATGTGAAACACAATATACATGTTCTCAATGCATGCCATGCTTATGTATGGTCATGAGATTGCTTGTGTAGAAACTGGAAAAGATCTTTTCTGTTGAACAGCTTTTGTCTTTAACAGTGAAACAGAAAAATGCAACATATAACTGAGTACAGCAGTGCAAAAATTCTTGATGGGGAAGTCATGATAAAACAGTCCAAGATATCTGACTGCAAATGCATTTTGACACACTTGCTGTCTAAGAGCACCATAAGTTTTCTGGCAGACAATTCATTTTTTAAAGTCATTGGATTAAGCCTTTTCCCAAAGCCAAAAGGTGTCATTCTTATTAAATTATCAAGAGTATATGAGCATGTGATTCAGTTCAGCACAATCTGGATATTGAGGGAATAAGGAGAAAAAGAAGAAACTAAAAATTGAACAGGGTGATAGAAATGTTAAAGTGGAAGTAGAAGAAGCAGAAGCCAAGAAGTTAAAAGGCCAATAGCGTATCAGCTGACTTAGAGGGTTATTATAGTGTTTAACCTCTTCAAATCACTTCATATGATTTGTCTTGGAAAAAAAAACTATTGAAAAACTAAAGAATAAAGAAAGGAAAGAAGGGTACAAAGAAAAAGGCACGGGAGCAGAGAACAATAAAAAGAGATAAACTATATCACATCATAAGCAAATTTAGTGCATATGATATCCTTTCAACCTGACATCATTCTCCTGGAAGAACAATGGATAAAAACTGAGCTAAAGTTTTTCAAAGTATATAATCATATTTTCAATATAAATGAACTCCAATGCCATATAAGTAAATTATCTTTATATGTGCATGTCATATTTTAAATTAATTTTCACTTACTTAGGGTCAGAGTTTATCATGTGTAAATATAGATATATAAATGAATTCAAAAATATAAAAACTATTCTGTAAGCTTTGTTTAGTTACTCAAAGACTCATACCTGAGATAATAATTTTAATGATACTGAAAATAATATGGAATTTTAGTATGAAGAATGCTGAACATTAAGCATTTTGATCAAATAATTTCACTTTTTAAAAAACTGTTCAAATACAACAGGAGTCACAGTATAACAATTAAGTCAGTAAATAACTCTTCTCAGGATAGGAACTTGAGATGGAGGAGCTTTGATATAACTTTTAGCTACCTCCACATGAAACAAGTTTTAATAGACTTCCTTGCATGTCATCTTTCATATGAAAATAACAAGGGAACAGTTTGAAAGTAAGAAAAATTAGTTACTTAAGTCCTCAGGTTAATCAACTAAATCTCTATTTTTGAGGGATGAGTAATCTACCATCCGTAGCCAAAAATTGAATTAGTGGTTGGTAATTGACATATATGATTCAGCACAGTTTAGTGGAAGTTATGTGGGATTTTATTGTACAACTGCTTATATACAAATATATGTACATACATATGCATATTGCATATACTCATATGTATATGTATGTATATATACGTGTATATATATATAAAGACCTATAGTTTTCTGAGAGAATTATAACTTGACAAGTGTATTTTCTCTATTTAAAGAGAAGAGAGTTACTATTTCATAATGCTAGATCAAAGTCACTGAATAAAACATTGTACCTAGTTTTGTGCACTTTTTGTAATCTCCTGAGTTTATCTATGATAAATCCTGGGTTATCTCCACTGATCAAAGTGTAGTATTAATGGGGAAATATAAATTGCTATCTATTTAATTTTGAGTTTGGAAAGCCTTTCTTACTTCATCTGAACAAGGAGGTTTGTGTTAAGGCAATTCACAACAGCTTTAGGGAATTTTTCTAGAACTTTGAAAAATAGATTTAAGAAGGTCAGTTTAGATTTACATAACTGAAGTCAGAGGAATTTGCCTGATCTACGTAAAGTAAAAGGATTTTGATTGGAGAGAATTAAGGCAAACCAGATTATAAACCTTGATGGAAAGTATAAGGAAAATAGTTTTGTAATAATAATAAAATTAAATAAGTACCATTGAGAAAAATGGCAGTAAGTCTTTGCACATTCATTGTTAGTAAGATGGGTTGATGCATGATTGTCTCTCACTCCAAATCTACCTCTTCTAATCTGTCATGATAGCAAAACTATAACTTATAAATTCTGATTTCTGCATCAGCTTTCTTTACATTTATATAAGTACTACATGGTTATTGATTTTTGACATCTAAATTATGCAAACTTTCTGAAAGAAATAACCCTTAAAGTGGGTTTTCAGTGCAAATTTATTCTCCTAGTATAATAAAAATGACATTTAAGCAACTCAAAGCTATTATTTTTGCAAGAAATGGAAAATTAATATTTTTTCCAGAACAAAATCTCCTTGGGTGTTAGGTATTATAGGAAGCTTTGCATATGTCAGATGACACCTATATATGCTGTGTCCCTGAATGCAAATAGCTTTGTGCAAAGTAGGCTGATACTGTGCTGCGACTCTTTACTTACAAATACTATTACAGTCATCCTAACTCATCAATATGATCAATTCTGTTCACTGAAAAATTAATGATTCACTGATAAAATGAAACCAGTCAGTTATTATAATAAATTGTTTTTGTGTAGATTATATTTCAGTGCTTTCACTCAACATCAGAAAACAAAGA